TGGCCACAGAGATTGTGAATCACTCAAGCTTTGACTGATGAGCTAATCACTGAGGAGTCAGTCTGCTGCTATTACCCCTATTACTCCCAAATTAAAGGAGACCCTTTTGGCTCTTACTGATGCAGTGCACACCACTCTAAAACTAGAGCCTGTTGCTGTCTCTAGGCTTGCGACTTTAAAACTCCTAAGCCCACAAAGACTTTCTCTTTGTACCCATTTTCCAACTATATATTTTTTTAGAGATTGGATACATACTGATGAGTTATTTGCTCCCCACAAACGCTTACAGTATTGGGCTGGCATCCATCTAGTGAGGATCTTATACGGAAGTGATCCTTTCCCACTGTGGATCTGGCCATGTCCCATCTTAACAAGACACTTAATATACTGGTGGAGGGATGTACTTGTCTTCAAGGTCCCAACCAAAATCCTTTAAAAGAGATCTAACCACTGCTGCAGTAGATCCTTTTGCTACCGCGGAGATCCTTCACCGCAGAGATGAGCAGATTTACTTTGAGCTCTCACGGGTCTTCTGGATTAAGGTATCATTACCCCAATTCCTGTGACAGAATGGTATTAGGGATTTTACATCAAACCCAAAGGTGGCATCCACCCCACCTTGAATTTCATGACCCCAATTTAATGACGCTTTACTGTGAGCCCCATGCACTACCAGTTTGTGGTATTGTCTTTCATTTATACCTCTGCTAATTACCAAGTTACTGGCTCCACTATACTCCCTACTGCACTCTTATGGCGTCCCCTTTGTTGTTTACTTATATGATCCCCTGTTAAAGGAACAGTTGGCACAGGCTCTGTCTGACAACTTGTCTCACTGGTAAGATGTTACAGCATTTTGGAGGAATCCTGAACCTTCACTAATCATTGCTGGAACTGGACTCATCGTTTGGAGTATCAGGGTCTAGTCTTGAACACAGCTTAGATCATAGTGTTCCTTTGACAGAGGAAGCTACAGTCTCAGTCCAGGAGTTGTATGAACCTCTGCTTTTACAGGAGAGTCCTAGGCCCGATGGTAGCCTCCTTGAAGGCAGTTCCATTTGCCCCATTTCACTCAAGGCCTCTGCAACACAACATTCTGTCATTCCGGAATCCAGTCTTTGGACAGACCAATTTGTTTATCACTGTGGACCAGGTTATCCTTGGCTTGGTGGCTCAGTAATCCGGTTCTGGAGTCGAAGTCATTTCTTCCTGTCTTTTGAAGGATTCTCATGGCAGATGCCAGCCTATCAGGCTGGGGAGGATTCCTGGGCTCCCGCTTGATGCAGGGGACTTGATCATCAAGTCTCTTCTCCCGATCAGTGTTATAGAACTTTGGGTGATTTTGCTCTCTCTGGAGCATTGGACCATCCTTTAGGAGGAACATCAGAAACTGATTTAGTCACATCAGTGGCATTCATCAATTATCAGGTAGGAACCAAAAGTCTTGCCTCACTGAGTGGTAGGTCGGATTCTGTCCTGGACAGCACTTCATTTTCCAGCATTGTCAGCCATGTTCATCCCAGGCGTAGACAATTGGAAAGCAGATCTTCTCAGCCAGCAGTGTCTGGACCCAGGGAGTGGTCCATACACCCAGGGGTGTTCCAGGATTTGTATTTCAGGTGTGGGATGCCACATGTGGATATTGTGGCTTCCACATTTAAAAACAAACTGACAGATTGTTCTCCAGGTACATAGATCTTCTATTTGATGCAGTGGATGCTCTTGTGGCTCCAGTACACCTTGGTCTATGCCTTTCCTTCCCTAAAACGTCTTCCACTTCACAGGATTGAGATAGGACACATTCCAGTAATCCTCATTGCTCCAGAGTAGACCAGGCAGATGTGGTATGCCAACCTGAGAAGACTACTGACAGACACTCCGTGGGCACTGCTAGAATCTTCTGTCCCAAGGCGACATCGGTGACACTATATCGCCCAAAAGAAGGGACCCTGTGTGGCCCCAAAACTTTGGCTGTATGATGCATGTGACAATTTAATAAAAAGTGCTTTACTTCTTGCACACATCATCGAGTGCTGGTGACTTCTGTAATATGCCCCAAACTGATGCACTGTGAGCACCATGCTGTATATTGTATTGTCAAAACCTTACCACTTTGCATACTGTGCAATACCTTATATGCTCCAAACATATCCACTCGGAACACTGTGCTGTATGTCATATGCTACAAACTGCTCCACTCTAACCCTGTACTGTTCACTATATGCTTTATGTATACACTGCTGCACTGTGCAGTACACTATTTACTCCAAAGTTCCCTACTCTGAACACTGTACTACACTATTTGCTTTAAAGTGCTCCAATCTCAACACTGCTCCACTGTGCTGCACACTAGTTACTCCAAACCGCCCAATGCAGAACACTGTGCTGTACATACCTCCCAACTGTCTGAGATTAGAAAGAGGAACACCTTCTAGAGCAATATATTTTGGCAATGGACCCACCCCTGCCATGCCCCCAGTTATATATAAGCAATGGATACACCCCTGCCATTACCCCATTATTAATTTATAGGCAATAGACACACCCCCAGTTATGCGGACCATTAAGAATTTATATGCCAAAAATAATTGGTTACCGGTCCTCTTTGTGGCTTATCAAAATAGCACAAAATGATCAGAAAACGGATAAAGGTTTTAGTGCAGAATCACACTTCTGTTAGTTAACCCCTTCATGACTGAGGCCCTTTTTTCATTTTTTGCACCCATGTTATATTACACATTTTAGGCCTGAAAATGACGTAAAACCCCCCAACATTATATATTTTCTGAATGCCAAGACCCTATAGAATAAAATGGTGGTAGTTGAAAATTTTTATGTTGCGCAATATTAGCGCAACTCCTTATTAAACCCCAAAATTTAGTGACAAATTTAATTAAATGCCCCAAAACACAACAAATTACCCATTTTTTAAATGAAATATAAAAGATGAGGTTACAACGAGTAAAACAATACCCAACATGCCCAGTTTACAGATTGCGTGCGACCAATTTTCATCAATATCTGTACATCAGAAAAGAGGGACACCTGCAGAGGAAAGAGGGACAGGGATTTGGTTCCAAAAGATGGAACTAGTTATTTAAAACTGCTCCACTCTGAACCCTGTGCTCTACACTACTTCAAACTGTTCCACTCTGAGGGCAGGTTCACACCATTTTCCGGGCCAGATCTGGTCCGGAAAATGGTGTGAACCTGCCCACAGTTCCAGTCCATTCCAGACAAAAGGAGACATGCAATTACATTTTTTTTTTAACTATTTATTTTTAGACTTAACTGTATTGCTATTACACAGGGGTTAACAAATCCCCTGTGTGATAACATTTGGACACTACTTCAAACTGCTCCACTCTGAACACTGCACTGTATATTATATCTTCTAAACTGCTCCACTCTAAATACTGCACTGCATATTATATCTTCCATACTGCTCCACTCTGAACACTGCACTGTATATTATATCTTCCATACTGCTCCACTCTGAACACTGCACTGTATATTATATCTTCCAAATTGCTCCACTCTGAACACTGCACTGTTTATTATAACTTCCAAATTGCTCCACTCTGAACACTGCACTGTATATTATATCTTCCAAACTGCTCCACTCTGAACACTGCACTGTATATTATATCTTCCATACTGCTCCATTCTGAACACTGCACTGTATAGTATATATTCCCGAATGGAGCCGTTTAGAACATATACTGTAATATGCAGTGCAGTATTTAGAGTGGAGCAGTTTAGAACATATAATATAAAGTGCAGTATTTAGAGTGGAGCCGTTTGGAACGTATAATATAAAGTGCAGTATTTAGAGTGGGGCAGTTTGGAATATATCATATACAGTACAGTGTTCAAACTGCTCCACTCTAAATACTACACTGTATATTATATGTTCCAAACTGCTCCACTCTAAATACTTCACTTTATATTATATGATCCAAACTGCTCCACTGTACACACTATGCTGTAGCATATATATATACTCTATACTCATCTGTTAACAACCCC